TGACTTCTGGTGATGTTAGAGGGGGGGAGAGGAGAGGGGGGGGGGGGGGGGGGGGGGGGGGGAGGAGAAGGACAATTTGAGGCTTAAAAATATGAGAAGACTGATCAATACCTCCATAACTTCAGTGTGGTTAGCTATGAATCTTCCAAAACTTCCAAACACCTTGTCCTGGACATAGTTTCTACAGCATAAACTGTGCAACAGTACAGTAGGCCCACACAAACTGCAGAACACCGGGGCTTTGGGAACACTGATTTAATTCCCATTTAACCTGTTAAGGGGCTTTTTTCCCCCGTTTTTTTTCTCACGAAACTGTGTCTCAGGGCTTCTTAAAATGTAATAAACTATTCATGTGTCCTACTCAGAGGAAACGCATCGAACTGATGATATGAACCATGTTTACCGAAACAAAACACAAGTCTCACAAGAAGCGTCTCAATGAGCCCTGAGCGGAAAAATGCTATCGATATACTTATCGGATATGCACAAACAAGCTTACAAGCTGAGATTCCACATATTCTAGAAATATAAGTATCATCACTGAGCGATCAGAACTCGCGACAGGGGAAGCAAATACAGACATCACACGACGTAGCTTTAGGTAGCAAAACATGGAGATATGCTCACCTTTTGCAGAATAACAATTCTGATCAAAAACGAGAAAAACGCAGCTGAAGGTTAATCCATAGGTTAATCCAATGTGTCTGTCACTTTGAAAAATGATTGATGATCCATAATTCCATTTTTATGTCAAAAACGGAGTTTTCATGAGCTGCTAATGGTAGCTTCCAGAGTGTATGACAGCTTCCTGTTTTGTCTCCTTGGATACGAGTCCAAACAACTCACAGACTGCACCGGGCGCTCACGTAGGAGCCCTGTGACCATCATATTTGACGACGCTGATTGGCTGAAATTATGTTTTCGCGGCATAGTTTACACGTTACAGATAGCAACAGTCAGCTGCTAGTGGCTGCTGCTGCACTGGTTGAGGGCTCCTCTCTTAGCGCCCAGACGAGAGAAGGTACACGGGCAAGGCCAGGCAGGAAACATGTGACTTATCAGTAACTTTAGACATCGTAACACAATTTTAAACGAGATTTTATTGTAGATTATACATTTTACTGATACCAATTATATAATATTTACCTTGTTCATTAAAAATAAAAATAAAAATATATATATTTTTTAAAATATATTTTTTATTTTTATTTTTATTTTTTAATATGGGAAGAGGTGGGGCGGCGCCCCTATGGACCGGCCGCCACTGGATACTGCATATATAGAACTTTTGTAGTTATTGCCCCAGATTTCAGCACAGTAAGTCAGATATGGTAAGACTAGTGAACAGTAGAGAATGAGAAGTGATTTCTGATCTAGAACTTGTTTTACTTTGTTTAGTATGGAAATGCTTCTTGACAGCTTTGATTGTATATGTTTTATGTGTAATTTCCAACTTATTGTGTCATCAATTATTACCCCAAGAAATTTAATTTCATGGACTCTTTCAATTTCAACCCCATCTATTTTTATTTGCATTTGTGTTTTTGTTCTATGTTTACCAAACAGCATTAATTTTGTTTTACTCAAGTTTAATGATAGTTTATTTTTGTCAAACCATGTTTTTAATTTGTGCATTTCATTTTCTATGTTCTCCACTAGCTGTTCTAAATTCTCCCCAGAACAGAATATATTTGTATCATCAGCAAACAAAACTAGCCTCAGTACATTGGATACTCTACAGATGTCATTGATGTACAGTATAAACAATTTAGGACCCAACACTGACCCCTGGGGGACACCACAAGCAATGTCCAAACATGAAGAACAGTCATTTCCCAACTTCACATACTGCTGTCTATTGCTTAAATAGCTTTTAATCCAGTCTAAAACTATACCCCTGATACCATACCTTTCTAATTTATATACTAGGATGTCATGGTTGATTGTGTCAAAAGCTTTTTTAATATCTATAAAAATCCCTACTGCATATTTGTTGTGTTCAAGGGCATCTGCGATATCCTCAATTGATTCCATAATTGCCAGTGATGTTGATCTGTTTGATCTGAATCCGTATTGACTGTCCGTGATTAATTTGTGCTTTTCTATGAATGCGTCTGTTGTTGAATACTTTTTCTAGTATTTTTGAGTAAAGAGATAGGTCTGTAGTTTGTGAAGTGGTGCTTGTTCCCAGTTTTGTATACAGATATGACTTTAGCTATTTTCATTTTGTTTGGACAAGTACCGGTTTGGAATGACAGGTTACAGATGTACGTTAATGGTTTAGAAATCCCCCCAATGACCATTTTTACTAATGTCATATCAATGTCATTATAATCAGTAGACCTTTTATTTTTACATTTTTGAACAATATCTAATATCTCTCTTTCATCAACTGGTTTAATGAACATTGAGCAGGGGTTTCTCTCCAATACATCGTCTTGATGTTCCCCAGTTGTCCCTGGATCAGGGAGTTTTCCCGCCAAATTGGGTCCAACATTCACAAAGAATTGATTGAAGTTGTTAGCTACATTATATATATATATTATACTTTTCATTATAGTTATCAGTAAAATACTCAGGATATCCTTTTTGTTTAGAGTTATTTCTTACAATACTGTTAAGTATATCCCATATTCCTTTAATATTGCTTTTGTTTTTATCTATGAATTCCTTATAATAGTCTTTCTTGCTTGTTCTTATAATATTAGTCAACTTATTTTTATATTTTTTATATTTATCCTCTGCACCTTGAGTTCTTTGTTTAATGAAGTCCCTATATAGTGTATTTTTCTTTTTTGCAGGCATTTTGTAATCCCTTTGTGATCCATGGACAATGAATATATTTTTGTTTTCTGCTGTATTCTTTAATTGGGCAGGTTTTGTCATATAATGACCTAAATATCCTTAGAAAGGTTTCATAAGCAGTATCGATGTCTCTTTCTTGGTAAAGTTTGTCCCAATTCTGTTCTAGCAATTCATTTTTCAGTGCGTTGATTGATTCCTCTGATCGCATCCGTCTGTATCCTTTTTCTTTGTCTGGCTTATTTTTCCTGTAGTTACTGTCATAGACTGTGAACACTGGCAAGTGATCACTGATATCATTGATTAATAAGCCACTTACTGTGTGGTTTTCAATGTCATTGTTAATATATATTATCTATTAGGGTGGCACAATGGGATGTCACTCTACTGGGTCTAGTTATTTTCGGAAATAGGCTCAGACTATACATTGTATTGATAAATTCATCAGTAGTTTTGTGCTTGTTAGGATTAAGCAGGTTAATATTAAAATCTCCACATATGAAAATAGCTTTGTTATTTATTTGAGAAAACATGCCCTCCATCCAGTCTGTGAAAGTTTCAATGCTTGACCCTGGCGTCCTATATATACAGCTAATTATGACATTTTTATTTTTTTCCTTGTAGATTTCTAGTTATACTTTCTAATAGGTTGTCAACCAAAGTTGTCATACTGTCCACCACACTAACGTGCAGAGTTGCATCCACATAGATGGCAACTCCTCCTCCTCCTCCCTTATTTGGTCTATTTTTGTATCTGAGCTCATATCCATCCAGCTCAAAGTCTATGTCCTTTTCGTTGTTGATCCAGGTTTCAGAAATAGCAATAATGTTGAATGGATTAGTAAATATTCTCTGATGTTGTTAAAGTTTGCATACAGGCTTCTGCTATTAAAATGGATGATTGATCATTTGCCATTTGATTCGATGTTCTGGTTGTATTGTTCATCAGTGTAGTAGTAACAGATGTTGTTGTTGACGAAAAAGTTATTGTCCGGATCAGTTTCATGTTCCAAGTCATGTAGCTTGTGATCAGTGTACTCGAATGTTTTTAGTTCCAATTGATCATTATCCTTTATCCTCTGAGTTATGTCACTATTGACTTCAGATGTATATGAGCAGGTGTCGTCAGTGTGCGCCATGGCTTTGTGTGTGTGTTACCTCACAGTCCGGTGTATGATGATGATCACTGGTATCTGTCCAAATCCATGACGTTCCTGATGACCAGCACTTTTGCTTCCTCTGGTGTTCCATTTAGTTTAATAAATATTTTGCAGTTTGAAGTCCAAGTGTTTTGAATTTTTCTCTGTTTCTTTAGGTAGCGCACTTTTCTAGCTATGTCAGCGTTGCGCTTAGTTAAATTATCATTCATATAGACATCTGATCCTTTCAGCTTTCTTCCCTGTTTTACAATAGCAATGCATACAAAAATACTACATATTCTAGAGTCTAGAGTAGACTAATGGGTGTGGGTGAACTTTGATCTGCAGCATCATTATGAGACCCAACTTTAAAACAAACAAATCATTTCTGAGGAAACGTGCAGCAAGGCCATTCTGTCATATAGAGGTTAGATATCATAATGCCTCTAAAAATGAATGCATATTAATTATGAAGCCAGAGATGTGACTACTTTTCATTTAATAATTCCTGATCAACTCTTAAACTGTAACTCAAAACAATGAGGATCGCACACGTTCTTTTTTTATTTACCTATAAAAACACATAAGAAACAAATATAGCCTAAGTGCTCAGCTTTTAAAAATAACAATGCAGACTGTATAAATCCTAATGGTACAAAGACCCTATGAGAAATCATTAGAAAAGTAAATGACTTAGATTTTCCCATATTTAACAAGCACGACTAAACAGTGAATGGCTTTTGTAATTACATCATGTCATATTTTTTCTTAATTGAAGAAACATTATTATAACTAATCTAACAAATTATGATATAATGTAGGATTTCCTACTTTTTTATTAATTTGCTCCTTTTTAATGAAATGTAGATTGATTTAAGATTCATCACGTAATAATAAAAGCAATTATGTAATTGCAAATTATTTATTATGATTTGATTAAGGCTACCGTGTTTTTTTTTAAGCAGTCTCTGACGTAACTTTTACTTTATTTCTTTATGAGTCGACGATACATTTTCTAGTGGCTCCTCTTATGAGCGCCTCGGTGCCGCGCAGTCACCAGGGGGCATGCACATAGTAATAATACAAATAATAATAATGATGATAAATGCATTGAGGAAAGCCTTCGACACAAGCCTCCGTCGTTTCCAGCCCCCAGCCGTGTTGTGATGGAGTGGTGCGTTTAGGTTCATGTGTCCGACCGGCGGCTCTGCCCCTGGCTTTTTTTCTGGGGGACATCATATTGGATCATATTGTTTGCAGGACGTTGTTCCTCCTGCAGCCCCCCCAGTCTATCCCGACGTAGTTGTGAATTGAACATGGCGACTGTAGCAGTATATTGCATCTGCAGATTACCTTACGACGTGACCCAGTTTATGATCGAGTGCGATGCTTGCAAGGACTGGTTCCACGGCAGGTAAGCCCACATTGCTCACGTTGTGTTTTTGTGGCGGGTTGCATTTGCTGGAAACAAACAAAAATGGCGAGCTCTCGGCGCGTTTGACAGCTTTGTGGCTCTCGCTCGGCCGTGTACATCTGAAGAGAGGCCGCTGGAGAAGAAGGGGAAGGCGGAGTTAAATATAGACAGACCAGGCTGTGACATTTTTTCGCAAATTAGATTCCCTTATTAAAAGTTCCGTTGAGTTATAAAGCTCTGTCGCTGTGTGCTTTGTCTATTATCTGCACTTTGTGTGTATTTGACATCCCGCATAGCCTACACGAACCCTCCCCTGTTAGAGAGCGGGCGGGCGGCAGAGGCAGCGAGGGAAGCCTCGGCACACTCGCTGCTCATTTGTCCCCCATTCCCCCTCTTAATAGCCGCTTTCATGCCGCTTTTATTTTGTGTAACCGTTGTTCTGTGCGAGCTTTCACCGAGGAATTATACAGCACACGGATGGAAATCACGACCCGAGTCTGAACCGAGCCTCTGCTGCCTTCCTGCCAGGCGGTAGAAGCAGCTATGGCTGACAATAGCCCGGACTGGAGCCCTGAGCTCCAGCGGGAACAGACAGGCTCAGTTCTTATCGTCCAGTAAGCAGTATTGACACAGTTACGCTATTTCGAGCTGCAAATAATGACTGTTTTGTTTTACTGTGATGAAACGGGCTCATCACTTTCCCCTCCGTAACGTGAAATACAGTAGCCCGCGCTGAAGCCTGTGTCAGCGGGCTGTAATGATGCGTGTATCGCCGGGCTTTATGCCTTGCTGCCGCTGTATGTTTGTTGCCTTTCGGCGGCACTCTGCTAGTGTTTTTGGGGAGACATCAGGTGTTAATCGTGCTTCGTTAGGTGAACAATCCCCTTCAGATCAGAGGACAGTAGGCTATTTACGCGCCTGAATGTTAACCCTTTAATGCTCCCCCTGGCTGCTTGGCTGTACTGTATAGCTTTATCACATTAAGAAGTGAGGAGTTAAACGCTGGGAATGAGCCATGACCTCCACTCATGCATCAGCAAAGCCAAACAAGCAGTATGATAAAGAAGACCCTTCTACAAATGTTCCCACATCAGCTTGATGCTGTTATTACAGAAGAGTTCAAGTCTGAGAGGTTTACAACACATGATCAATAGGAAGCAAAAGGAAAGTGTGTTAAAATATATTTCCCTTACATCCCTGCTTAGAATACAAAATATAAAATATCATTCAGCAGCATCAAACTAAATGAGGTTATTTAACTTAAAATACCTATAACTATAATAGCTGTGTACGTTTAAAATGAAGACAAACAAAGTTATCCTTACTGCACTAACTTATTGTTCTTAAAGGAACTGAATGTGTGGATCTCAGTTCAGAGATAGTCGCTGAATGTTATTGTATCATTCCTTTTTAGCGTGGTTCATGTTCAGCACAGGTCATGTGATGTAATACAGAGACAAAGTGTCACCGATGACATCAACAAACCCAGAAGCATTGAACCATAATGAACCCTGGGGGGTCTCATCTACCTAAATACTCCACATACAACAAATGTGGCAAAGAGTAGCACTTTGTTGGACGATGCGTTTTGATGTTTGACACATGCATGTCACAAGAGGAGGTGACATGCTAGGGTTGACATCATATCAGAAATGTAGTGGTCAGTACCAGTTTCACCGAACGTCCACGATTCTCCATACCAATTTGAGCATGCTAAAACAAACAAACACACAAATAATCCAATGTACTTTGACACACTCCTCAATACCAGTTTGCATTCGGATTTTTTGTCTGTTAAGAAGTTAAAGATGCTTCAAACAACAGCTATATTTATGTTTCTTCCAGATTACATTTTGATCATATCACAAATGGTTTACCTTCACCAAATGCTACATTTTAGTATGCCACGTTTTCAGCATTTTGGCATTGAGGAGCGATTGCAATAAGGTTGTTATATCTTCTATTTTGGATGAGGAAATACGTAATTTGCATTAGTCGCCTTTTGTGTTTGAACATTTACAGTCAAAACCTGTGTTACTGCATTAGATTTTTCGGTAACCGAAATATGGTTCAAAGTAAGGTTCTGCTTATCAGTTTCTAAATAGGCACTTTCTCTGGACTGGGTAGCACTCATACGTACATTTTGCTTATGTTTTGTCTCAACATTATGGGAAGATTAATAAGAGTTGCGTGCACCAGGGGCTTAAGGTTTTTATCTGAACCCGTCTTTGATTTTGATTTGTGTGCGATGTGTTCTGGGTTAAATAGTTAAACTAAACTAAATAAGAAGGAGGCAGTACTGTGTCTCTTCTTCTTTACATCTTTTAAGTATATGAACAAATCATCCACCTTGTATTTTTTTTTTGTGTGACAGTCTGCTCTCCACTCTGTCAGCTTCTTTACAATAAATACAAATACAAACTTAGATTTAATAGATATTATAAAACGATTCAATTTCATATGCTTAATAATAATAATATCATAGCCAAATGAATCACAAAATCTGAAATAAGTTAAAAAAAAAAATTATACAATTAAACTCTAAGATTAAATTGATGACTAGAAAAAACCCTAATATTATTTATTACTGTGTTGTTTCTGTGTGACAGTCGGCGCCCTGATAAATCATCAAAATAAAAATATTGTACTAGGACAGTGATTGGTAAACTAGTTGGGGAACTTCTTAAAGGGCCCATGTCATGCTTTTCCGGTTATTACCCGTCCCCTTGTGTGTTATGAAGGTTTTTATGCATGTAAACGGTGTGCAGAGTCACAAACCCTCAAAGTACACCCTGTAGCGAGTAAAACTCTAACACAGAAAATACCTCCCCAAAACGCCTCGTTGGAGATACGTCATTGTCCATTTGATTCTTCCATTTCGTTCCGGGTACGGCATGATGTCAAGCCGTACCCGGAACGAAATGGACCAATCCGTGGAGCCGTTACGTTACGTCCGCGGAGCCGTTACGTTAAGCCCCCGCTGATTGGTCCAAATTGACCAATCCACAGAGTTCCTCACACACACACACAGTGCAGCTCTGCTGATTTCTCCTCCCTGGCTGCAGGCTGATAACAGACAGTTGGGATCGCGGCAAAATTCTCTCTGCAGACCCATTCTCACAGCGTTTATCAACCTTTTTCTTACTCAATATCAAGCCACACTTATTGTTTTTACTTCGGCTGTGACTTTGTGTGTGCTCAGGATGAGTTTGGCTGTGTTTGGCTGTGTATCGCTAACAAGGAAACAACACCTCCACGGAGCTCAGCGCGATTCACAACGTCCCGACCAATCAGAGCACACTGTGCTCACAGGGAGGGTGGGGGCTGGAGCTGTTAAAGGCAGAGAGTGAAATTCAGTGAATACAAGTAGTTTACAGAGATGCTGTATGAGAAACCAATGTGAGTTTGGAAAAATGCACAATATAAATCTATTCTAGTAGACCTCAACAATGGAATTATGATCAGTGGAAATGGCCATGACATGGGCCCTTTAAAATAGCCTATATTCTCCATTTGCACAGAACTAATTGGATATCAGTGTTTCCCCTAGGATGAAGTCATAACAGCGGTGCTAAAGCACGCGGGCACAGCAAAATGTGAGCGCGGACCGCGTTGAATTTTTTAGTGTGCGCGCGTGCGAAGTGCGCCCCGCCAATATGTTTCTATGTGTCTGCCAGCACAAGAAAGGCTCTTGAGGCCTAGTACATACAGTGGCAATGTCTCAAGTCATTGCCACTGTATGTACTAGGCCTCAAAATGTGTATTTAGCAAAATCTTGAAGATTTTGCAAAATACACCTTTATTGAACATACAGTAACACAAATACTACAAATCCACATAACAAACAATCAAAATAAAATGTATGCAATTTAATTATTTTAACCTGCTTTATTTGGGGGTGGACCTCACATCCTCTAGGGGGGTCCGGGAACATCTTTAGAATATGATCACAACCAATAACAAATCATTTAAACTTGTTTATTCTTATCTTATGTTACCTATAGCATTCTTTCTTTTTATTTATGCATATTTTACTAATCACTCCCCTTTTAAACTTAATTTTTTTTACTGTCCTATATATATATATATATGTCCTATATATATTAGGGCTGTCAGTCGATTAAAATATTTAATCGCGATTAATCGCATGATTGTCCATAGTTAATCGCGATTAATCGCACATTTTTTATCTGTTCTAAATGTACCTTAGAGGGATATTTTTCAAGTTTTTAATACTCTTATCAACATATGAGTGGACAAATATGCTGTATATGTTTGTTTATTATCATTTGAACAATGACAAATATCCTCATGAATATTAAACACAACAACCTCTGAACATTACAAATATTCGCCTCAATTCAACCTGGAACCTCTCTCATACAATAATACTGTGTGTGTGTGTGTGTGTGTGTGTGTGTGTGTGTGTGTGTGGTGTGTGTGTGTGTGTGTGTGTGTGTGTGTGTGTGTGTGTGTGTGTGTGTGTGTGTGTGTGTGTGTGTGTGTGTGTGTGTGTGTGTGTGTGTGTGTGTGTGTGTGTGTGTGTGTGTGTGTGTGTGTGTGTGTGTGTGTGTGTGTGTGTGTGTGTGTGTGTGTGTGTGTGTGTGTGTGTGTGTGTGTGTGTGTGTGTGTGTGTGTGTGTGTGTGTGTGTGTGTGTGTGTGTGTGTGTTCAAGGTTTGAAAAGTGCTTGAATTTTGGGAATGGTGCTTGAATTTGGGATAAAGTGCTTGAAATTGTAAATGCTTTACTTCGCTTTTTAGATTAAAAGAAAATAAAGAAGTCGGAGTGCGCTTAATTGCTTCGCTTTTACATAAAACAGCTCCGCTCCGGCCTTCCCGCGCAATGCGCGTGACCGGCAAGTGTTTTTGTTACGTGTGTGACCTGGGCATTCTGATGAGAGTGATAGATGACAGTATGCCAGGAGGTTGCCGTGTCAACGAGCGTTGGCTAGCAGAAGACAAATACAAGCCATGGCTAAGACGAGGGTCAAGCGAAGCCC